CAATTACTTTGATTTTACCTCCACTATTGGAGACAGTAAATGCTTCTGAATGTCAGCTGCTGCAAACAGCACGCAGGCAGAAATGCTGTTGCATTTATGTTGTGCTTGTGAGCTGCTTCCCTTTGGGGCATCTGGTTGGCCACTGCGAGGACAGAATGCTGGACTAGATGGGCCCCCTTCGAGGAGGCTCTTCTGCTCTTCTTATCTTTTCAGTGCTTTGCAACACTGTACTGTACATAGCAACGTGGCAGCCAGAACCAGCAACTGCCATGAGCAGAGTCGAGGTGCGAGTTCGGGAGTTGAACTGGCTTCAGGCAAGGGTGGGGAAACATCTGTGGCCCTCCTGATGTTCTTGGACTCCAGCTCCCACCAGCCCCAGCCAGCTTAGCCAATGGTCAGGGCTGATGATGGGAGTCAAAGAGCAACAATAGGCGGAGGGCTGCTGGTTCCCCGCACCGGGCTGATCCCATCCACGCTTCCACCTCTTGCAGCCAGCCTGCAACTACTCCAGGAAAAGGACAGCCCGCCTGGCCATGCCAGAGAATCAAGTACCTGCATCGACTGGGCTGTATCCTGCTCCAGCTTCTTAATATCTTCCCTCACCAAGACCATTTGCTCCTTCAGGAAGGTTGCCTCCTGCTTCAAGGCCTCCATCTCCCGGAGAACTCTGGGCATGCTCTGGAGCGCCTGGTGACTTGTCTCTGCAGAAAGGGAAAGGCAACTGTCAATGATTCAGTGGCTTGGTGTAAAAAAGGAGAAGAGATTCCTTATTGAGAGTCCAGAAGCAGGAGAAAAAAGAGGAATTATATCCCCAGAGGATGGGGTATATGGGGGAAAGAAGAAGAATCACCAAGTGGAGAAAGCAGGGGTGGGGACACTGCAATTCAACACAGCACTGAAGGCTAGAAATACAAGGATATGAACAGCAACTTTAAATTCTGATGCATTCTGCCTTCTCAGACCCCCCATTTCTGAGCATCCAGAACAACCTTGCAGGCTCACTTCTGACCTGTTCATCGGCTTTCTGGAATAACATGTCTCTTCCAGCTAAACTGGCACTCCACGCTTCTCTCACCCACTGCTCAGCATCTTCAGCACAACCAGTTAGCACACACTGTGTCTTTCCATGACATCACAGAAGCTCAGCCATTGGCTGGGAAGGCTTCTGCACTCTCAGCAAGTCACCTAAAGAAGCACACTATGTCACATTGCAGACCAGCCTTCCCTAACCTACGGTTCTCAAGCTGTTTTGCACTGTAACTCCCATTAGTTAGCACAGCTGTGCGATGCTGGGGTGATGACAGGTGAACAGCTGGGCTGGGCTGGGCTGGGCTGGGCTGATGAGAACTGCAGACCCCAAAAGCTAGAAGGCACCAGGATGGGTTGGCTGGCTCATTATTTGCAAGTCACAACATCTGCTTCTACTGTGGCTGCTATGCAGGATGTCACAGGAAAAACTTCTCAAAGACTCAGCTCATTCTACTCTCCAACAAAAAGACTTTGCATTTTTAAACTTTAAAGTCAACCAAGCTGCTTTCCTCTTCTGCGGTGTGAGTGGCCTCAGTGTGAAGCTTCAAAGAATCCCTCAGCTTTTTTCTCTCCTGTTTTCATCAGTTTTCCACCTCATCTAAAAACTCACAGCAAACTGAAAAATTGCTACCTTTGAGTATTGCAATAGGGGTCAATGGTCACAAAACCAGGCTCCAGTAAATCCACTTGCCAAGTTAATTATGGAATCAGGGAAATAGAAATAAAAGAGCATGTAAAAGGATAAAAAAGGAAGATGGAACGCCTCTCTCCTTTCCTTTGATAAGCTTTCTACTTCTGACCGGCAATTTAAATGGTAAAACATCTTTGCAAGATAGTTTGTTATTTCAAATTAAAGCTAAAGGCTGCATTTCAGGAAATCCTTTGTGGAAGAAATTCTCAACGTGTTTTGCAAGTTGAACTCATGCACATTTAATCAAAAGCAAGCTCTGAGTTCAGTGGAGCTTACATATAGGATTTCAGGCTAAGCAGCAGAGTGTGGTTGGGAACAATTGTAAGCTAGGTGGGGGTCTATAGTTAGAATACAGCAGATCTTTCTCCCATCTACCCCCTCCCCCCATTTTAAATAGGGACATTTAAGCCATTATTTTATTCCCACAGAAGTGTTAGAACTCTAACATGAATTTTGGGTTTTCTCACAAGAGCAAAGTAGTACAGTGGTACCTCGGGTTAAGTACTTAATTCGTTCCAGAGGTCCATACTTAACCTGAAACTGTTCTTAACCCGAAGCACCACTTTAGCTAATGGGGCCTCCCGCTGCTGCCGCGCCGCCAGAGCACGATTTCTGTTCTCATCCTGAAGCAAAGTTCTTAACCTGAAGCACTATTTCTGGGTTAGCAGAGTCTGTAACCTGAAGCGTATGTAACCTGAAGCGTATGTAACCCGAGGTACCACTGTATCTGTTTGTAATAGTTTGATTAGATCATGTATTATAGAGGACACAAATCACCAAAGGGGAGTTTACATGCCAAAAGTTTGGTCCTTTCATGAAGAAAATCCTAGTGTAGATTTCAAAATCCCAAAGACAGAGACATCTACTGATCCAAGTTGGGGGGGAAACACATTTGAGAAGCAGACTCCAGCCTATGAAAGCTTGTGTCACCAAAAAATTTACTCTTTATTAAGGTGCCACAGAACTGCTAAAGAAACTAGCCATTTTCTCTACATTCTTTTGCAATAAAAAATTTAAAATAAGCATCTCACTGGCCAGCTTCCACACTCTGTGGCTGCACCAGAAACGGCAATGTAACAGTGTTTTATTATTTTAACTAACTTGTTTAAACAACTGCACTGGGATGGGACAGTCTTTACATTTTGAAAAGGCGAAAAACTTGTCAACAACTATAGAACAAATTTCAGATTAAAGGTTTCTTTTTAAGTCAACCTACGTAAAGTCTGTTGCATAATTTAATCAGTCAACATCCATGCTGACAAAATCATACAATATTGCTGTGCTGTCAAGGTGAGATTGGACTTCACAGCTGGCTTGCAGAAACTAATGTTTAGCTACTAAGTTTAGCTACTAAGTTCCTGCCATGGAACCCCAGGTTGCGCCTCCTTAAGTTGCCATTACCTTCCACGGCATTGTTGACCTCTTGGATAAAGAGCTGCAATTTCATCACCACCGTGTTTGCATGGGCATCCAGCTTGCCCGGGGCCTCCTGTTGGACTGCTCGGAAGACCCCGTTCACCCAAGCCTTCACCTCAAAATCATCAGCCAGGAACCTGGAGAAATCCATTCTGTCTTCCACGCTCTCCCCTTGCGTGGGAGCGAATCAGCAGTACCTGGAAGGATACAAGATGGACAGATGTGAACAAGGACAGGGTTGCAGCAACTCAGTGGCAGAGCACCTGCCTGACATGCAGAAGGTCCCAGTTTCAATCCCCACTGGTGGCATCTCCAGGAACAGCTGAGAAAAGTCTCCTGCCAGAAGCCCTGGAGAGCAGATGCTGCCGATCAGGGTAGACTAGGAGGTTGGCTGACTTTCACAGGTCACAGGTGTGAATAGGTAATCAATTCAGAGTTCTGGCAAGAGTAGCCTCTCTGTCAGCTAGCAGTCAGAGTGGATTGGAAGGACACAGGCAGACAGAGGGAGAGCTTGGTGCAGTGGTTAGAGTGTTGGACTATAACTAGTTGGGCTGTGAAGCTTACTGGATGACCTCAGGCTAATGGCCACCTCTCAGCCTGGCCTGGCCCACAGGGCTGTTGTGAGCAGAAAAGGGGGAAGAAAAACATGTATGCTGATGTCAAACTTCTTGGAGGAAGGGTCAGGATACAAATGAAATACAGAAGTATGCCATAGTGGTTAGAGACTTTGACTAGGACCTGGGAAACCAGGGTTTGCATCCCCCCTCGGCCAAGAAGCTCACTGGGTGATCTTGGGCTAGTCACTGCCTCTGAGCCTAGGCTACCTCACAGGGTTGTTGTGGAGGCAGAATGAGGTAGGCCACCTTGAGCTCCTTGGAGAAAAAGGTAGGATAGAAATGCAATGAAATAAAGATGTGAGATGAGGAGGAGAGGGCAAGACCATGCCACTGCCGTCCTTAAATACAGTATTACTATTCCCTATTCCAGGGGATGCGGGTGGCGCTGTGGGTTAAACCACAGAGCCTAGGACTTGTTGATCAGAAGGTCGGCAGTTCGAATCCCCACGACGGGGTGAGCTCCCGCTGTTCAGTCCCAGCTCCTGCCAACCTAGCAGTTCAAAAAGCACAAAGTGCAAGTAGATAAATAGGTACCGCTCCAGCGGGAAGGTAAACGGCATTTCCGTGTGCTGCTCTGGTTCACCAGAAGCGGCTTAGTCATGCTGGCCACATGACCCGGAAGCTGTCTGCGGGCAAACACCGGCTGCCTTGGCCAATAAAGCGAGATGAGCGCCGCAACCCCAGAGTCACGACTGGACCTAATGGTCAGGGGTCCCTTTACCTTTACCTTTATTCCCTAATCCACACTTATCTATACAGAGAGAAAGGGGTGGGTGTCAGTGAGAGCGAAGGGGGAAAAGACGTGACTTACTCCTGAAGGAGATAAAGAGGGCGCTGCTGCTGCCCCTCTCCGCGCCCCTATGTGGCCCTCACCCTGACTTCCTCATCAGGAAATAAGAGGCGTTCAGCACAAATTTCCTTTCCCCCCCCCCTCGTCCGCCCCAGTGCTCTGCCTCTAGGGCTTGGCCCTGAGGGATAGACTGCCCCTGTCCATGGCGGATCCGCTGTCTCACCTGCCCGCCCGGAGCCCACCTGCGCGCACGCGCACAGCCCCGTCTATCTCCGTCACTCTTCAGCCCAGTGAGCCGCCATCTTGACAACGGGCCTGGGCTGGCTGAAGCTCCGCCCCCGCCGGCTTCACGCCGGGCCCCGCCCTTCCATCCCGTGGATTGGCTCCGCTCCTGCCGTCGTGGCTCCGCTGAGAGAGACCCCGCCTACACTCTGCGTGCTGCTTGTCTGGCGCCGGGGCGGAGACGCCTCGAAGGGGTTCTGCTGCGTTTTCCGTAAGGGGCGGGCAGGCAGAGAGCCAACAGGCGCAGTCTTTTCCTGGCTGAGTTTCTGCCGCTGATAGGCTAGGCAGCACAGGCACACGTTGGCTGGCAAAATAATAACGGGCAAATAATAACGGGCTGTATGCATTGCTAGCCCTACTTTGGGTAGATCCATTGAAATGAATGATCATGACTAAGGTAGGTTCATTTATTTCAATGAGTTTGCCCTGAGCAAAAGGTAGCTGGATATAACCCACTCAGAATAATGATTGAATTATGCCTCTTTTTACATTCATTTCATGTATTTTTGTTGTGAACCTCTTTGATATTTTTAATGAAATAGTGGTCTATAAATTCTTTGTCGATTATAATGGCTTTTGATTTCATTTCATTCTGCAGGCCAAAGCATTCCTCTCCTCCCTGGCGTTTGGCTCATTAGCAGACTATGGCCTTTTAAACAATATTACGTGTTTTTGTGGTTTTTATATTGTGAACCACCCTGTGATCCTCAGATGAAGGGCAGTATAGAAATTTAATTAGTAATTCTGAGCCATTTCTCCATATTTATTTCTGAATGCTGAAATTGACTGTTTACACTTCTGCACTTCACTCAGTCATAGTTACAGTTACGGTTTTTTGACTGATCAGTACGTTGACTTTTTGCAGTTGTATACTTAAAAATTAAGAAAACCATGTTAGAAGTAAGTCAGGCAACTCAAACAAAGGCAGCCACTCAAGATCCTCCTGAAGGCATCCTAGGAAGAGTCCTTGCCCAGGACAGCTGCTCTTGGGTTGAGAAGACACAGAGAAGACTGACACCTTTGGAAAACCAGGCTATGCACACTCCACGTGCTTGCTCCTAATGCAAAAGGAGTCACACAACCAGCAGCATCTCCCTGGGAAGCAAGGGTGCTGCTGCCTCGCCACTAGCTCAAAGGAAGAGGCATGCAAACCAGTTTTCTCTAGACCTCTTGGCAAGAGGCAGCTACCCAGGGCAACATGTTTTGATTGGGTGTCATTAAGGGAGGCCACAGATCGAGCGCACAGGGCAGAAGGCTTAAACTCTTTTCAGCATTGTCTTTTAATTGTTATAAGCTGAACCTGGGACTTTATGATGAAGGGTGGGTAATAAATTATACTAATGTTATCCAGCAGCTCTTCCGGGCAAGGTGCTCTGTGCCAGCAGCAGTAGAGCATGGGTGGTGCAGAGATAGAATCAGAATTGTAGAGCTAGAAGGATCTGGAAATGTCATCCAGTCCAAACCCCTGCAATGCAAGAGTCACAACCAAAGAACCCTTGACAGGTGGCCATCCAGGCTCTGCTTTCAAACCTCCAATGAAAGGGAGACGCAGACGCAGAGGTTCCTTCTCCCCTCCCATCCTCTCAATAGCAAACTGGTCCACACAAGGCACTCTGCAATTTCAGGCAGGCCCCTCTTTAAAGCAGGAAGCCAAACTCTTTGGAAAGTAAAACAAATCCAGCCTACAGAAAAGCGTTTGTCACACATGTGCATCGCGTCATGTGTTCTGTTGGTCACATCTTGCTCCCTCTAGTCGTTCCCATGGCCCTCTTTCATCTCCGCTTTTCAGCTTCCTCCACAGCCCCAAATTCTTTATTTCCAACAACCCTCTTGCCAGAAATTAGCCAGTATATTCTGTTGTTTGTTTTCCATGTTTACTTTTGACTCGTGTCTTAGAAATACAAAAACTTTATTATCAATATTCTATGGACTATTGGGTTGCACACATTCCATGACATCACAGCAGCTCAGCCAACAGGTGGGAGGGTAGCTTTCATGTGGACCATCCTCAGAAACGAAGTGATCCCTTCCAAGATTATTGGAGGGGAAAGTGTCCAGTGCTGTTTACATAGTCCAAATGAATATAAAGATAGCTGCATTTTTAAAAAGGTACTGATTGGTATACGCGAAGAAGAAGGTATCTTGCTCCAAAGCGTAATTGGCATTGAATGTCTGGGCCCTGGTGAGGCTCATCCCGGTGCCCTGAGGCCATGAAGGTGGTGCTCTGGGGGATCTTCTGAAGTCACTGGGCAAGCAGTCACTAAATCCCACCCCATAACTCTGCATGGGGAAAATCAGATACCTCCCCAGTTTCTATGCAAGGTGTCCCATTTTGGACGAAGGACAATCTGTATCTCAGTCGGAGTGGAGCCTGGGGACAGGAAAAAAAAGATATAAAGAGGAAAGACAGACACATAGACACTCTGCAATTTCTGGCAGGCCCCTATTTAAAGCAGGAAGCCAAACTCTTGCCCGTTCTCTTTCTGGCGCAAACCTGCCAGGGCAAATTCAGCTGTAGTGGAGGTCGTTCCACTCCTATCTAGAGCACGGTAAATCTGGGGAAGGGGATACTGCCAATGGACCTAAAATGGGCCTCTCTGTTTTTTCCCAACTTCCTTCCGGCAGGCTTCTAAATCTGTTTCTTTCAAAAAGCAGGCGCTGTGATCCTATCTTGGATATGGGCTTTACACGATTCCCATTCAACACTCTGAGGAGAAGCTGAACCCTCATCAGTTTCAAAATGTTCCTGAAGTTTGCCTTGCCCCATCCCCATCTTCTAACATTCTCATCCCTACATCTCAGTCAGCAGGGCCAGTGGTCAGAGGTGATGGCGAACAAGCACAGATGCTCCCCAGCCCTGCCCCACATTCTGAACAGGCAGCCAAAGAAAGGGGCCACTGGCACCCAGCTGCTGCTGGGCAGTCTGCTGCCCAAACCACACACCCCAACCTGATCCAGCCACATACCTGGTGAGGGTTGGCCAGAAGCAGAACTTGAGATATCACCGTTGGGGGAAGGAGTGGGTTGAAGGCCGGCAGCTCGGAGCCTGTGGCCGGTTGCAGCTTGATGGCCATCGACTATCATTCAGCAGCAAGGAAGAGGAGAGGGAGAGAGGAAGAAAGATGAGCTCTCCTCAGGCACAAGCTCAGCCCAAGTGGGGTCGCTGGGACAACTCCATGGCTCAGTGCCCCAGCAGCATATCAATCACAACATTTTATAAATTATCCCCTCTTTCTGTTTCAAGTTGAAACCCCCAAGGAAAATACACCCTCATACCGCAAAGCAGGAAGGCAAGGCAAAAGTGACAAAAACAGTGGTCAGGCCAAAGACCTGCTGGAAGAGAAACGTTTTCTGCTGGCCTGGTCTGTATGGAAGCCTAAGATCCTTGTGACATCAGGTGGGAAAAGCCTCAGCCTTCCCTGACAGCAGCAAGAAATGGAACCTTTAGCATCGTCGGCCAAGTCCTGTGGGACCTTCTGCCACTGGAGATTCAGCAGGGGCCATCTAACGCCTGCTGAAAACTTTTATATTCTGCCATACCTGTGCAGGCAATCAAGAATAGCTCCTTCACAATGGTTTAACTGGTGTCTGCTTTTTAACTTTTGTTACGGCTTGTATTGTATTGCTTTATGTTTTTACTGCTATAACCCGCTTTGTTAAATTATTTATGGCACTGCGGCATACACATATTTTTATAAGTAAATAAATGAAGGGCACTATGTAACTTCCTTAATGAAATAAAACAATCCACAGGGAGGGAGGAATCCTGCTGATCAGGAGCACAGCTCTCTTGCCTAGATTAAGAGCCAGTTTCTCTCACCTTGGGCACAGCAGCCTGGAAGACAATGTCCTGGACTGGGTGAGGAGCAGTGCTCAGCAGGGAGAGAACCAGCACCCTGGTGGCTGGTTGGCCGGGAACCGGGTCCCTGGAGAAGTGGAGCATGGCTTTCAGGCCCTTCTCCTCATAGACCGTGACCGGGGGGATCGTGCCTGTTGGGGGCAAGAAGGCAGACGAATATGGGAAGCTGCCTTACATGGAGTGAGACCACTGGGGTCAACTAGCTCCGCACTGTCTACACTGACTGGCAACAATGCAATGACCCTCCAGGATTTCAGGCAGAGGTGTCTACCAGCCATACTTGGGAGATACTAGAAACTGAACTCGAGACCTTCTACACCCAGAACAGATAGAATCATAGAATTGTAGAGTTGGGAAGGACCATGAGGGTTATCTTGTTCAACCCCCTGCAATGCAGGAACCTTTTGCCCAGTGTGGGGCTTGAACCCACAACCCTGAGATTAAGAGTCTCCTGCTCTACCAACTGAGCTATCCCAGCTATGCTGTACCACTGTCCTTAGGCAATCTGGTGGCTAGGATGAGGATGCCAGGATCCAGAGGGAGGGGCAGGGAAAGGGGGGGGAGCATTTATTTATTTCATACAATTTATATACTGCTTGATTGCTGAAATCTTCATCCCAGTTTGCATAAAGAATAAGGCAGTAAGGTAATTAGTAAAAACTATTACAGCATGGATCACTGCCTTGCCGTGGCGAAGGGGCTTGAATAACTCAGAGAAGCTATGAGCTATGGCGTGCAGGGCCACCCAAGATGGACAGGTCATAGTGGAGAGTTTTGACCAAACGTGATCCACCTGGAGCAAGCCACTCCAGTATCCCTGCTGAGAAAACTCCATGGACAAAGACAACAGGCATATAAAAGTTATGACGCTGGTAGATGAGCCCCTCAGGTCGGAACGCGTCCAACATGCTACTGAGGAGGAGAAGGGGACGACAGAGGACGAGATGGTTGGACAGTGTTCTCGAAGCTACCAGCATGAGTTTGACCAAACTGCGGGAGGCAGTGGAAGACAGGAGTGCCTGGCGTGCTCTGGTCCATGGGGTCACGAAGAGTCGGACACGACTAAACGACAACAAATTACAGCATTCAAAAAAATTAAAACCATCCATAGAGCTAAAAACACACCAGCATCCCGAACATCAGGCTTGTCTAAAAATGTTTTTGGCAGGTGCTGAAAAGAATAGAGAGGCAGGGAGTTCTCATGTGTAGGTGCTGCCTCACTAAGAGACCGATTTCCAAAAAATGTGGAACGGGCATTGTGTGGCACCTATAACGGGGCCAGTCCTGCAGATCAAAGCAATCAAGAGGGTGTATAATATGGTCTCAGATCACTGGGGGCTCTGTATACTAATGGTGTAACACCTTGAGCCTGGCCAGCTAGCAAATAAGCAACCACTGCAGATATCTGAGCACAGGCGTGAAATCCTAACACAGCCTCACTCCCATCAGCAATCGTGCTGCAGAATTCTGCACTAACTGCAGCTTCTGAATCGGGCGCAAGGGAAGCACCGCACAGAGTGCATTGCAGTAATCTACTCTGAAAGTAGCCAGCGCATGAACTACTTGCAGCCAAGCCTTCCCGGTCCAGGAATGGCCGTAGCTGTCATGCCAACTGCAGTTGGCAACAGGTAGCCACAGAGCCTCACAGAGGGGCAAAGCCAAACCCTATACGGGGCTCTGTCGCCCCACCAGAGTCCACATCCTACCACCAGATCGGGGGCAGCTGCTCAGCTCCTGCCCTGTGAAGAAAAGCTGCCATCCTGGCACTTACTCAGAGTAATGGAACTCAGCGGAATTGAAAGCTTAGCCAAGGAGCTGCTGGAGGACGCAGGGCAAGGCGGCAAAGGTGCTGGTGCCATTTCAGGTATTTGGCTGGAGACTGGAGGAGCCGCCGCCGTCGGGCTGATGGGGAGACCTGGGGAAAGAGAGTCACAGGAACCTGGAGGCAATGTCATTATCTCAGCAGGGAACTAACCCTTTCCTTCCGCAGCTCCTCTCCCCACGCCCTGGTTGCCTCTTGCTTAGATGCTAATGCTGCAGCAACATCCGCAAAGGCTCCTCCTCCAGCTTTGGTCATCCATGAAGACCCTGGTCCAGGATGCGCAGTGGGATCTGAAGCCAACGAGGGTGCAAGCTGCTCAGACCCACTCCTCTTCCACCAGCCCAGGAGGAGGATGGCTCTTGAGGCCCCTGGCCTGGTTTTCTCATAGCTGGCTCTCCCTGGGGGGCTCAGAAGACCCCACCGGAAGGAAACAGGGCAACTATAACAAGGACAGTTCTAATGGATTTATTTATTTTAGGGTTTGGAAATGGTTCCACAGCAGTGTACAAAAACAGAGTCTAAAGCATAATGGAAATCATAAATCGGTGTTGAAAACATGGAGCCAACAACAGCTTGTTATGTCCTGGTTTGGAAAACATAGAGTTGCATTCAATCATATTCAGAACCAGTGTGGTGTAGTGGTTAGTGTTGCACTAGAAAGTGGGAGAGCCAGGGCTTTTTTTGTTTCGGCCGGAACTCTCTGGAACTGAGTGCCAGCACCTCTCAGGTACCATTATAAGAGAACCAGGGAGGCATTCATGGTGAATTCTGGCACCTCTTTTTCTAGAAAAATAGCACTGGGGAGAACTATGTACACCACCTTGGGCTAGTTGGAGGAAAGGTGGAATATAAATATAATACATAACATATTAATAATAATAATAATATTTTACCCAGAGTAGACCCACTCTGAGCCCAAGTTAGTCATGGCCAGGGTCTACCCTGCATAAAAGCTAAGTCCATTAATTTCAATGGGTTTACTCTAAGTAGGGCAAACACTGAATACAACTCTTGTCCTCCTCAAATACTCTCCTCTTACAGGCCCTTCCCAACCACAGGAAGCCAGAAAGCAGGCTTTCTACATCAGGGAAGATGCAGCCCCTGAGAACTCCAGTCCAAAACACCAACCTAACATCAGCTCCTCATCCAGTGAGTGGGTAGAAGAGGAGGAGAGGAGCCTCTCCAGAAAAGGCTCTGTCTTTGCGTTCTCTTGCAAGGGAGCCTGGCACCCAGCACCCAGCTCAGAGAGGTCGATGAGGGTGAGGCTGCTTGCAGCGTCTGGAAGGGGCTGAGGTCCAGCTGAAATGAAAGAAAGATTTGTTTTTAGACAAAGTAGATGACCATCCCAAGAAAGCTCAGCTGGTAGAGAATGCTGGGGAAAGGGAAGATCTTCCACCCACAATTTCAGATTGCTGCCAGCAGTTCTCCCGACACAAAGGTGGGACTCCCTTCCTCTCTCCCCCCCCCCCCCGCCACTCTACCAGGCTTGCATTTCACTTGTCTATTATTGGGTAAGGCAGACAGCCAAGAACTAAACTGAGATCCACCACTCAAAGCAAAATACTTCTGACACAAATCCGTTCTCTAGGGAGCAAGTTAGCATAACTTCAGCCTTGCTAAACAAGCAAGAAAACCAGCAAACTGTGTCAGGCTTTTGAAACTGTAGGCTGGCTACCTGCTCTGGTTTAGCAAAGCTTCCCAAAGTGCTCCCTGACTGTTCTGACCTGCAGAGCAGAATGTTTTCGTTTACTGTGGTGCTTCAAAGCAGAGACTTAAAGAGCTGGCAGCTTTTTTAAAAAGGGGGGCCATCCTGCAGTTCGTGGTTCGCAAAACGGAGTAGTCACCTGATGCGGTTTTCTGCTTGCCCTTCTGACCCTCCTTTTTTCCTTCCTTCTCGAAGTCACCTCCTCACACACCCCTCTTTATATCCCTTCCCAACAACTCTGAAGAACAAAAAAGGCACCTGTATGATAGCTCAGTCAGTAGGGCATGGGACTCTTAATCTCAAGGTAGTGGGTTCAATTCCCACAATAGGCAAAAGGTTCCTGCATTGCAGATGGCTGGACAAGATGTGGTCCCTTCCAACTCTACTATGATTCACCCTAGCCCATCTCAATCTGCCCCTTGGCTTCACTGCAAGCAGGGCCTCCCCCAGACCCTTTACAAGACAGGGACAGCCTTGCCAACCTTGACCTACCAGCAGCACCACCAGAACTGGTCCCAGAATCCCCAGCGGTGCCCACAACGTCCTTGTAAAAGCACAGCGCCCGCGTGAGCCTGTCACTTGCCTGCAGAACCTCCCCTACAGAAGCAACAAGAGCGAGAATTTGCACCACGGGCTTCACTCAACAATTACAAGAAAACAATTGTTATTTGTAGGGTGGGGGGTGCTTTGTTCCTTGTGTTCTGTATTATTAGCATTTTTTAAAAAATTATCCCTGTTAACAAAATAAACCCCTGGAATTCTAATTCTCGGGGCTAACAAAACACACACAAACCCCATCTAATAAAATTGATTTCATCCCAAAATGGAAAACGAGCGAGGTCCCAACTAACGAAAATGGCAACTTAAGTTGACAGAATATGCACAACTCACAGATTTAACAAATAGAATAAGAGAACAAGAAGAACATACATTAAAAGAAGATTGCAAAACATTTGCTGAATGTATGGGAAATAATGAAGTACAGCTGAAAACGTTGGCAGCATTAAGATAAATTCAACAGTGTAAATAAGTTTTGATGGATGCAACAATGGAATACTGAACGGTATAGTTTTTGTAAAATATGCAGAGATTTATGATATGTAAAATGAACCATGGAAAGAGAAGAAGGGAAGTCATTGATATCTTAAGGATGTAAAATGAGTATCTTAAACTGTAAAACAGAAAACAATAAAAATTAAATACAAAAAAATAAATAAAAGTGATTTCAAATCCAGCAGTTTCCTAATTTGAGGGTAGAGAGAATAGGGGACAGCTGTTCCCTTCTCAGCCAGGACAAAACTGCATTTCTTGGGCCTCTGTAACACCCCTCTCT